GTGTGTGTGTGTGTGTGTGTGTGTGTGTGTGTGTGTGTGTGTGTGTGCGGGGGGGGGACATGTCTACAACTGATTACCCTTTATAGTCATCACCGTTCAAGATGGCCGCCACAGCCAAGGACCATGAATATTGCTAAACGGTTAATTTAGCAGCTACTGAGCTAATGTTTGGGGTGGTAGTAACTGAGAGACTTTCTCAAGACATCCTTTGAGCTGCAACATCCATTAATGGACCAAAGCTCTGTAGCTCCGCCCCCTCTCACCAGGAGATGATCTTAGTTTAAAACAGCAGGAGATAATCTGTTATTTAGAGTGCTAACAAAATGTTTTTACAGCATCTTCTTCTTATAAAACTCAGAAAAATACAAAAACAATTTAAAAAGCAGACATTTATGTTAAAGGACATGTCTCAGTTATCAGTTTTTATGTGGTTTTGTTTGAGCGTCGCTTTCTTTTCTACTGATTTTCCAAACTGAACACATTAATTCAAACATCGAGCCGTGCGTCAGATTAATGCAGAACTTACAGCTCGGACTAATGGCTCAGAAAAATGCTGCACAATTGGTCCTATTCATCATCTTAATGGACGGATAAACTGGGGAGGAGGACCAGAGTTCAGATTCAGCAGAAAGATTTGTCGAGTTTTTATTTATTTATTTAATCTAAAACCTTCAGGTTTTATTAAGACTTTAAAAAAAAGTTTATTTTCCAAGAAAGATTTCTGCTTTACCACGAGACAAACATGAAATATTTTCTTTTATCTGTAAAAATGTGAGTTTAATCATCTTCTTTTGCAGTAAAAATCAGTTTTACAACCAGTCTGTTGTTTTCTTTCATAACTTTACTTCATTGTGTATTTGATGTTTTTTTAATTTAATTAGATTTTTTTTAGCAAAATATCAAACAAACCAGTGGTTAGATTTTAATGAAACTCTTGACGCATTCACTAAACAGCAACCCAATTCAAGATGGCTCACTCTGCCAGCTTTACAAACATTGAGCTGTTTGATGTGGTAGTAGCTGACAGTCATGCCTTTAATTTAATAAACTGGAGTTTTCTGCCTGAAAAGCTTTTTCAAGATCCAAAATCTAATTTGTCTAAAATTCGGCCAAAAACTTTGCTCCACTTTAGTAAAACAGGAAGTTTCATGATCAGAGCTGACTGAACAAAACACAGAAGTAATAAAAAATAAAGTAGTTAAATAATTGTATTGACCTGGACAGACAAGATGTGTTGAAATCAGGACGTGAAGAAGAAATGTTCAGAAAAATGAGCCGTGATTGTTTTGTTCTTGGTAAGATCGTTACCTCAATGTTGTGTTCATTTTATTTTAAAGTAAGAAGATAAAAGTACTGTATTTTTCGCCATATAAGTCGCACCTTTTTGCATAAATTTGCACGTCCTGCAACTTATACACCGAAGCAACTAATATACGTTTTTCCCCCATATTTATAAACTAATTTTGGGTTGAGATCTGACGATTTAATTCATTCTGACATGGAAAATATTGAACACGAACATTTTCAGCCACTAGAGGGCCCTCGAACCATATGGCAAGCCAATTGTCTCATTAAAAGGTAGAAGTGGCTATTAATGAGACACTTGGTTTGCCATACAAGTCACCTTCGTCTTGCTCCGGAACACTTGGAGCAAACGTCAAATCAGCTTCATTTCACCGCGCCGCTCATGTGAAATGCAGTTGATTTGACCATTGAAGTGCATTTATTAAGGAAAAGTTCAACTGAGACACACCTTTGCTATCATTTTGAGCAAACAAATAATTGTTTTTAAGTGTTAATCTTGTTAAATTCTTGTTAAAGTCCTCCCGTGCACGCTGCCGCCATTTAGCAGCCAATTGATTTTTGGCACAAAACTGGCCCACGTTTCCAGGTGGTCAGCGGTGACGCATAATAGAAGCAACATATTTATGTTTTTCCCACTTTATTAGAAATTTTTGGACTGATGTGACTTATACGACGGTGCGACGTGTACGGCGGCAAGTACGATAGTTTTTTTTTGAAAATCAGAGGTTTTCTGAAGCTTCCTTCTCCCGGTTGTTTCCAGGGACCATCGAGCACCGGGACAGACCCTACAAGGCCGTGAAGTTTTTCACGCAGGCCGACGTCAACAACGGCAAGATGATCTACAGACCTCCACCGGCTCCGTCCCACCTCCAGGAGCTGTACCAGTACTCCTTCACCGGTACCATGATGCACACACAACCGCCTCGCACTTCACACGTGATATTCATAAACGGCAACGCCTTCCGGATCCTCATCTATGAGGTCAAAGCAAAACTGATAGACCCGACAGTCTGGCTTCAGGATATGAGAAAAGCATCAACGATCATTGAGTTTTACAATAAACCCAACTTTTCTCTGTTCATCTTCTGACAAAGCTACACTCCATCGTCACCGTGACTCGTTTCCACTCCACTCCGATCTACACGGTCTCTGAGGTTTTGAATAAAACCACGTCTTCATTTATTAAGCACTTAAAAACAGTAACTTCCAACTAAGAAGTGCCGCACAATGAAACGATCCAAGGACATGGGATAAAATAAATAAATCTACAGAAGTAAAACAATTAAAAATATTAAATTAATAAAAGCAGAATAAGGTTAGCATCATCTCGCACTGTGTCAAAAGTCGGGGGATAAAAGTGTTTTTGTTATGCGAGACTTAAAAACACCAAAAGAAGGAGCTGGTCTAAAATGCAACGGTCAACCAGTCCTCAGTTTTGGACCTGAAACAGAGAAGACTCTGTCCCCTCTGAGGTCTCATCACATTGTTGGAACCAGTAAAAGTGTCTGATCCACTGACCTCAGAGAGCGCTGCGGTACATACGACTGCTGAGATTTATTTTAGACAAGTGTCTCGATGTTTGCAGGATCGATGTAGCGCAGCCGCCCAAAACTATTGAAACTTTATTTCCTATCCAAGACCAACACAACAATGAGCAAATAAGTTAAATAAAGTAGCAACACACTTACCGTTCCTCTGCCACGGTTTCAAAAAACGCTGTCTGAAACGAGGCCCTCTTCCTTCTGCCGGTGGGAGCCCATAGACCGAGTCCATTTGGTCTAACCGTCTAAATTCTGTCGTCAACCAACACATCTGTGCCTCCTCATAAAAGCATGGCGTTTTCATTCATTCAACCTTTATTTAGACAGATAAGTCACATTGAGCCTAGGAGACTCATTTACAAGTGAGATCTGTTTAAACAGACAAAAAGTAGTGAAACTGGACACATGTAGGAATTCGAGGCGAAAAAATTCCTATCAGACTTTTTCTTCTTGCCTGAGAAGAAAAAGTCTGATATTAAAAAACACCTTGCACAAACAAGCACATAGTGACGTAGACATTCTGCAGAGGGCGGGAGACGAGAGCGGTGAGCATGTCCATGGATGCTCTCGAGGTCACTGTAAGGGTTCTGATAAGGATGTAATAATCAGCCAGTTTCCTCCGGTGAGATCCATAAACATTCTCGAGGGATGTCGGGGAATGGCCAAGAATAACATCGATGAGAATCTAAGAGTCCTGAAATGATGACAAGTTTATTCAGCTGGTTTCATCTGGTTATCAGTTGGAAATTCCTCAGGGAGGGGGTGGTGAGCGTCAGATCACATGTTCTCCAGGTGAATTCAGATAAGGTGGCCTTCAAGGCCAGCCAGGGGAGCCAAATTCAGATAAACACACAGATGTTTTGGGGACAGGCAGAACTTAATGACATCTACCTTGAGTCTGTGTTGGTCCACTCGGTTCCGAAATGTCCAAATTACATGGCCACACCAATGGAACGTGCCTGAGTAAAATCCCTGAGATTTGATCCATTCTGCTCAAAGCATTTGAGTCTGGGTACTCGAGGCACGAACCAAGCCATCATAAAGGCAAGCAGCGTGATCGGGTCCAAATTTGCTGCCGACGACTTCCTTGATTTGTTGATAAAACCAGCAACCAGACAAATTTAAAAACAGAGGGAGGGGATAGGAAAAGCATCCGATCTCGGCAAGAGCAAGTGGTGAAGTGGTGCTGGTTTACGTGTCGCCATTTTCATGGATGTATTCCATCCATTATCTTTGACCCGCTTCTTCCTTTTTGGGTCACGGGGGTCACTGGTGCCCATGTCCAGCCATCATTATGTGAGAGGCGGGGGACACTCTGAGCAGGTCACAAGTCCATCACAGGGACAAACAACCATTCGCTCTTTCTCTCTCACCTGAGCCACTTTAGCGTCACCAATCAGTCTAACATGCATATTTTTGGTCTGTGGGAGGAAACCGGAGTACCTGGAGAAAACCCATGCATGCACAGAGAGATCATGCAAACTCCACCCAGAAAGGGCCCCCGGATTGGGATTTGAACCGGCAACCTTCTCATTGAGAGGCAGCAGCTCTACCAGTTGTGCCACCATGCTGCCCTCATGGACGTATTATAAACATTGAACGTTTTTATAATGGCGGGTTGGGTTCTTGTGAAGGAGACGCTCATGAATGACAATCAACGTCATGCACGGACGTCAGATCTCGTTTGGAACCTCGGTCCCAAGAGCCAAATTGAAAGCAGGTGGGGTCACAAAGACTCTGCAGCCGCACCAAGAAAATGACCATCTGTGTGTTTTAACACCTAAAGCGCTCAAATATAAACCAGGTGTGGATAGTGATTTAGATTACCGACATGCAGAGCGTGAATTCATGGCATCTCCAGCAAAACAGACGAAGACTTGCTGCAGTTCCATCTCCATCTTCTAGTCGGGTCTCTGAGGCAACGGAACCCAGACAACGTTTCTGGAAACATTCAGGTTCCTTGAATCAATCCTGAACCGAGGCTCCAACGTCTGAATACGTCTTTTGAATTTAAACGGCTCGTCGTTTTAGTTCTGACGCTCCGTCAGCTCTTCCTGTTTTTTAAGTTTTATCGTTTGCGAGTTGTGACTGTTTTCTTTTCTTTAAACTGACAGGCCTGCCGGAGTCACTGAGTGTTTATTTCACAGGTAAATACTTTCAATACTTCATCTTTTTTCTATTTTAAGAAGAGGAGAAGGCAGTTTGGCTCCTTTCTTTCATTTTTGTTTTGTTTTACTGGTTACAAGGATTTCTTTCACCTCTTTCCCTTTTTATTTTCCTCGTCCTCTTTTTAGTTCTGTTCTGTTCTGGAGCGGAGATGCTTTATTTTATAAATGTATCTGTTTTTCTTTCATAGTTATTTGTTTTATTCTCGCTTCTCTGTCCCAGTCTTGTACCTTCTTCCTCCGCTGCATCTGTTTTTAAATATTTTCTTCAAAAGAACAAACTTCAGCTATTTACTTCTGTGAAACTGGATTGAGGGACAGAAACTCGCTGAAAACTCCAGAAAGAGCAGCTGAAATATTCTGAAGAGGCCGAAACTGAGTTGTTAAAGATGCTAAAAACATCACATTAGCTGCACGTTGAAAACATTAAAAGTCAAAAGCAGCAAAAAAAGCTAGCTAAAAAACAAAAACACTACCTTAAAGCTGAATGACAAAACCATATAACAGCTAAAAGTAGCGTAAAGCTAGCTAAAAGCAGAAAGTAGCTAAACTGCTAGCTAAAAGTTTATGGTTGTGAAACAGCAGCATCACTGGGCTAGCTAGAAGGTAAAAGTAGTAAAAAACTGGCTTAAAAATAAAAGTAACAAAAGATGAATTAAAGCTAAATGTTGTAGAACGGTAGCTAAAAGCTAAAAGTAGGACAGTTATAGCTTAAAACTAGCATTAGCAAAACTGTAGCTAAAAGCAACAGAAACTTGTTTAAAAGTTAAATGTACCAAAATCCTAGATAAAAGTAACAAAATACTAGCTTAAAGTGCCTAAAATTTCCAGACGTCTTAACTTGAATCATAACAAGCCCAGCTAAAAACACCAAAGTGTGGGGTTTAAGTAGCTAAAAGCTAGCTAAACTTACCTAAAGCCTAGCTTAAAGCACTGAAAACCTAGGTAAAGGAACCAAACAGCTAGCTAAATGTACCTAAAGTGTTAGCTTAAAGCACCAAAAGTGCATAAAGGCTAGCTTAAAGTACCTAAAAGCACCAAATATTGAAAACTTTAAAAAGTATTTTAAAATAAAGGCTCCATTGCGCTTTTACCTCTGTGTATATTTATTATCTTTATAGTTTTTAAAGTTTTTTCAGCTTTTCTCACTTTTATTTATTCTTTCTGCATCTTTCTTTTTTTTTTTACATTTTCTGTTTGTATTTTTATGTTTTCAGTGTCAGACGGCGAACACACCACCCCTGAGTTGGACTTTGCCGTCCTGCTGCTTTCAAACCGCCAGCAGCCGCCGGTGTTTCAGGTTCTGGACCCGCTGCTGGAAGTCGGCCTGGGAGGACGAGCCGCCATCGGTACCAGAACACAAAAACACTCATAAATAAAACTCCACGCCTCAAGCTTTTACTAAAAGAGAGTGGAGCCACAGTACGATGAATCAGAAGCTCTGTGTGGTGTGTTGGTGCAGGCGAGCAGCAGCTGGCGGTGAGCGACGCCGACACGCCTCCAGATGAGCTGGAGTTTGAGCTGGTGGACGTCCCCGTCCACGGAGAGCTCGTCAAGACTGACGACGACACACGCATGACTACCGGTAACCCAGAAAGGAGCTCAACTCGTATCTCTAAAAACTGCATTTTCTTAAAACCCACGTGAACCTAACGTGTTAAAAATCTCAGGCTTTACTCAAATAAAATACATGAAACTAACATGTTAAAGTCACGGTTTGTGCGATGCTTGGCGTGTTTTCAGTATGTTGTGATCACATATGGTTACAAGTTTTCCTGCGTGTGAAATTCATGTGTTTGGTCATGTAGTAATTGATCACGCCATATTCAAGATGGCTGCCTGAGCTAATCAAAGTGGCTAAAACAGTCAGTTTTACAGATATCGAGCTAAAAATCTGCCTTTTAACAGCTGAAAATCATCCCCCATCACGTCAAGGAACTCTAATTCCATTTTAACAAATCTTTGTTCGATCTGGTAACCCTCAAAGTTTGTGTTGGGGATGACTCTCAGCTACTACCACACCAGATTTCAGCTCAATATCTTTCAAGTAGACTGACGTGTAGGCCTTTCTGTGGCAGCCATTTTGAATTAGAGGTTAACCAGTTGTAGAAATTCATCAGATGATTACATTTAGAGCTTAATCACGATCCATCCAGTGTTCACTAAGATATTTTGCTAACAGACAGAATACAAACCCATACACAGACACAGGTAAACGATCAAGCACAAACCGGATTGATCCAGGTCTTTCTTCCCAGGTGACACGTTCACCTTCAGTGACATCACCCGCAAAGTCCTGCTGTACCAGCACGCCGGCCTCTCCACTCAGGAGGACGCCATGTCCTTCTCAGTCAGCGACGGCGTCTCCATGGCGTCCACCACGGTCCAGGTGTCGGTGCTGGGCGGAGCGGGCGACGGGCCGCAGCGGGACCCGGCTGCCTCGTTGTCCCTAGAAGTGAGCGAGAAGAGCAGCACCGTCATCAGACGCTCGCACCTGGCCTACACTGTGAGTGAGAACAGATGCATTCTGGGTAGGGAGGTCTCACAGAGAACCAGGAGGTGACTCTGGGTTTTAAATGTGACATTTAGAAGCACTGTGAGGTGGTAAAATAACTTTTTTTATTGTTTTGATGGATCACAGATGTAGTTTGGATTCAGTTCTTAAAGTTTTGAAAGAAACTTGTCCAAGTTTTATCTGTGAATGAATCATCTGAACGTTTGAGACGATGTGTTTCATCTTAACGCAGAGATGACACCTGTGTTCTGTTGATCAGGATCACTCGTCCCCCGACGGTCAGATCCACATCCAGCTGGTGTCGGTACCGATGTACGGCGTCCTGACCCGCAGCCGGTCCCAGCAGGAGGCCGAGGAGCTCAGAGAGTATTCATCCTTCACCATGGAGGACATCAACATGCACAGGATCAGGTAGCTCCATCGCTGCAAGAACGTTTCAGGAAACGACCTTCAAAAAAACGCTTCATATTCCAGTTTTAGCAGTGGATGTTCACCAGGAGCCACCGATGGGAAACAAGTGTTCCTTTAACGGTTCTCGTCATGTTCCTGCTTCTCTGATTACCTGAGAGTGTAAAACGTTTTAAAAATCACTAACTTTGTTTTCACGCTGTGCTTTAAGGAGATTCTGAATTTAATCCTTGAGATTAAAAACCTCAAAGTCGAGGAGTTTGAGTGACCGGAGCGACATGTTCTCGGTGAGCCTAACGTGCTTCGATGGTCCGTGAGTCTGGACTAAAGAGGCTCTTTTAAAGCAGAAGTGTGGCGTTGATCCACTCTGGCAGGGACAAAAAGACGGTGAAGGTCCTTCACGTTGGAGCCATCGTGATTAATTTCTCCGGCTGCAGCTCGAGTCTGATCTTTGTGTCTTTGCACTTTAGGATGAGCGTTTGGATTCCTTCAAAGTTTCTTCTAGTTCGGGACCAGAAAATCGATGATGAAACAAATAAATTTACTTAAAATCAATTAAGGCGACACGGTGGCTCAGTTGTTTAAGTTGTTGCCTCTCAGCAAGAAAGTCGCCGGTTCAAATCCCGGCCTGGGACCTTTCTGGGTGGAGTTTGCATGTTCCCTCCGTGCTGCGTGGGTTTTCTCCTGGTACTCCGGTTTCCTCCCACAGACCAAAAACATTCAATTCAAAAATACTTTATTAATCCCTAAGGGGAATTATTTGTTGTTGTAACTCGTTCTCCTCATTTCATTAAGAGATGTTATAGACACTGATGGCTGTAGGCAGGAAGGATCTCTTGTAAAGGTCCATCCCACAGTGGATCCTAAGAAACTGGCTGCAAATGCTGTCCGATCCATCCACCGACTCGGCTGGCCTCTCGGTTCCCCCGGGCTGTTGGACCGCCCAAATGGTCACTCCTCCCAGCAGTCTGCCGAGCTCCTCATCGCTGTTGCATGCATGTTAGGCTGATTGGTAACTTCTCTCTAGGTGTGAGTGAGAGAGTGAATGTTTTTTTGTCTCTGTGTCCCTTTGATGGACTGGAGGCCTGTCCAGGTGTCCCCCACCTCTCACATATAATAACTGCTGGACATGGGCACCATTGACCCCCGTGACCCAGAAAGGAAGAAGCAGCTAAGACGATGGATGGATGGATGGATGGATGGATGGATGGATGGATGGATGGATGGATGGATGGATGGATGGATGGATGGATGGATGGATGGATGGAACGGATGGATGGATGGATGGATGGATGGACGGACGGACGGACGGATGGATGGATGGATGGATGGTCAATTGATAGCCTTGGGCCCTGTTTATACATGAGTTTTGAGTGAAACCGTAGCTTTTCGGCTGTTTGTGTACACGACAACAGCCGTCGTTTTCTCCGTCACTGAAGCTTTTTGGAGGTTTTTGTAAATGTCCAGCATCGGTGTGAAACCACACACTTTGGATGGCTGCAGTCAAAAGTTTTTCAGCGTGAATGGATGAACGACAGTAACAACCGTAGAAAGCGGAGTGCTGTTTGTCCTGCTCACTCTGTGCAACATGTAGGAGCAAACCAACTGCTTCCTTGGTCCAAACTAAAGGTTTGCGTAGTCGACATTTTGGTGTAATACAAAAATCACAACACCAGCTTGTGACCTAACATGGAAACTAAAGCTAATTCAAGGAGGACAGCGTCGCCGCGTGAACATAAAAGATTTTCACAATCATCATCAGAAAAATGTTAACGTTTGTCCGTTTGGAGACGGGGTTTTAAATTTTATATTAGTTGTGTGTTTTGGTGCCACCGGCTGAAAAACAAGAACTGGGAACTGAAATAAGAAATCACTACGACTGTAGAGAATTAAACGAGTTTAGATGCTTATGTTTATTAAACTCATTGTTTATCAGCGGAAACACACACACACACA